TTCTCCCTTCAACGAGAGCACGTGCCCTTCGCGCCAACCACGGCCATTACAGACCTGGCTGTTTCCCTGAACTCTGGGTCGATTTCCGAGCGCCCCCGACGTGCTTGTGCTTCGTGGAACACGTGTGCGCGCCCCGAATCCCTGCGGGGAGGACCTGAGCCGTGAGGCCATGGACGCTGCAGGGCCCTCCTAGTTCCCCGAGTAGAACGCGAAGACACCGCCCTCGGCCCGAGGCTTGTCGCCATTTTCAGAATGGCTCTGGGCCCCCACCCCCGCCGTGGAAACGCCAGGGCACGTGGAGGCGGCGCGGCGCGGCCTCGCTGCGGAACGACCGGTGGCCTCCGGACAGCCGCCGAGACTGCCGTCCTGGGACGGGACGTTGGACGGCCAAGAGCGGGCCGAGGCCACTGACCACCAGACAAGGAGCCAGTGCCTGGCGGGTCCCTCACGCGGGCCGAGGGCGCCGCGCGGAGAGGCTCCCACGACCCCGCCCCGCGCCCGCTGCGCGCAGCCCGGCCGGCCGCGCTGGACAGCAGGGCTCACGCGGCCTTCTCCGCGTCCCTTTCCGCCCACGTGCTCCTTCCGCAGCTTCTAGCGTCCAGAGTCGCCTCCTGTCGCTTTCAGCCACGAGACTCGTGACCCCACGGCCACGGACAGTTGCATCGCGGGGTCACCCTCGTCAGTGCGCGGCCGAGTAGGACCGTCCCCACTGCTCGGTGGCCGCGAGGAACCGGCCCGGCGCCAGCCGCGCACCCTCCGTCCAGCTGCCCGGTGAGTGGGCACCGCGGGGCCGGGATGGGGATGGGGGTGGGGCCTGGGGTGCTGCCGTTTGGGTGCGGTCTCCTCCCCTGCGGGCGTGGGTTCAAATCCCACTGGGGTCAAGGCAGAAAAGCGACTCGTTGTCCGGCCTGCGTCGTGTCCCTCCGTGTCCCTCCCGTCTCCCTGCCCGGCGTGCGGGGCAGGGAAGGGCTCGGGCGGGCGGCTGTCCTGTCCTCTGAGTGGGGGCGTGGTCGCTCCACATTTGACTCGGTGGTTGAGTTTCCGGAGGGTGTACCTGGTGTGCGAGGCAGAGGATGTGGCCTGAACCTGGACGAGGACAAAGGGGGCATTGCCCTTCTGACCTTGTTGTGTCCCTTAGCTCTTTTGATTGATTTCTTTTTTGCATACAGGTAACTTGTCAAGCACACATTATTCGTGTGCACCTAGGTCCTATGTCGCAAGAGAGAGACGTAGGAAGTACAGTTGGGGAGCACGTTACAGGAGTGAAACTATTTAAACCCCAACTGCTTTGGTCTCACTAATTGTTTCTGCTGAAGATGTCTGCAGGAAAACCGAACGTTTGCTTAGTTAACATTTAATTTGTGCTTATTTATTTTGTTTCTTAAGACATTTGCTTTTAATGTTGTTTTCTTAATGTGGAAATGTGAGTATTTAAAAAAATGAAATCCCTAAGAGATGTTTTTAAAAAAAAAAATTAAACATTCGCCTGATTAAAAATCATTCTTTGAATTTAAATTAGGTATTTTGGCTCCAGACCACTCTTTAGTTTTAATGGTATTTCTGAATTTCCAGGTGACTTGTTAATAAAAACAAAAATATTAAGGTCATATCATAAAAGTTATTCTCATTATTTTACTTTCTCATTTTTTGATGGACGGTCCTCTGTCTAGATGAGTATTTATACATTTACATACACATGTATGTATGTAAACCTGAATACACGTGGCTTCATCATCACCAGTATGTAGGTTTTTATACATTTGGGAATTTGGCACGTTAGAATGAACATAAAGACACTCATTCCCTTAAAAGGGTCCCCGTTTGATTTTATGTACAGATCTGTAAAATACACTTTTATTTCATTGCCTCAGAAGTGGCAAACTGCTCTTTGGGAAATGGATTGATAGGCCTTGTGTCCCCAGAGTCTGCCTCCGATCACCAGGCTGCTGCTTGGTGGGGAAGGAAGTAAAAGCACCCAGCAGCCCCTTCCCTCCCGCTTTGTCCGACTCCCATTGACTGACTGTTTTCAGTCCTGGGATTTGTCTTTAAAAATCATTTGCCTTTCTTCCTCTAGCAAATCTATGTCATCCTGAGTGAGTACCCAGCCCTCATCAGTATCATCAGCATCCTCACGCACGCATGGAGCAGTTCTCAAACACCATACACATGATAATGCGGTGCAACCTGGGGGGATGGAGTGTGTGTGATAGCACTGACGTGGTTTTTTTCTGCCATTGGCAGTTGCATTCTGATGGCTTCTCTGTCACTCTGAGTGGGACATGTTTGAGTTGTCCGTCTCTGACAGGTTTCCGCCTTACCCAGCTTCCAGTTTTCACAGGTTCACCCTATCTTCTCTGCGTTCCCTACATTTACACCAAAGCGACCGCGTGAAAGACCCTGGGCCCCGACTGTTCTCTGAGAACCCGAGAGCTCTGTAAAGGCACACAGAAACGGGCAAACGTGTGTTCTCCTGGGGCAACAGTAGCCGGGTGGCCCTTGGTCAGCACTACCCTAGACACGTTGTCCCCGCAAGCTGGCCCAGGATCCAATGGTCTGCAGGTGGGCGGTTAAAACCGTTTTTCAGTGTTCACCTCCCAGTGTTTGGAACATAAGCTGTATTGATTCACTGCCTTTTCCAGATCTCCCAAGCCAAGGGGTGTGTGTGTGTGTGTGTGTGTGTGTGTGTGTGTGTGTGTGTGTGTGCAGAGGCAACATCTTGATAACAACCCCCCAGCGTGTGCCGGATGCGGTCCACACTTGATCTACAGCCACTGGGTGGCTGCCGCCGCCGCCAGGGGAAACAGCACACCCTCCCTGGTAAGGAAGGGCCTTGCCCTGATTGGGAGTTCTTGCCCAATGACTCCCACAGGGCAGACGTTTTATGTTAGATGTTCCTTAAACTCAGACTTTCAAAGTGGGTGCAGGTAAAGTTGGTGCAAGTGGGAGAGAGAGGTTTCTCAATGAGTGTAAACTGGTTT